AAACTACGGCCCATGGGCCACATGCGGCCCACTGGGGACATTTATCCAGCCCGCCGGGTGTTTTTGCTGCTGCTGCCTGTCCTGCTTAGCAGCTGACTTGTCTGGGGGTCTGCAGTCTGGCCCTCCAGCGGTCTGAGGGACAGTGAACTGGCCCCCTGTTTATAAAGTCTGGGGACCCCTGGGACAGTGGCATGGTTGCTTCCTCATTTCCTGGAGCACTTTGTTCAAATGCCGCTTCCTTGAGGGAGTCCTTCCTTGAACAGTCCCCAGTCCCTCCCTCCCTCCCTCCTCAGTGTTGCCTTCTTGACATGCGCTAACTGATAGATATTTGTTTCTTCCTTCCCTGAGATTGTCAGCTCCATGAGGACAGTGACCAAGCTCACCGTGGTGTCCCCAGAGTTTATAAAACTGCCTAGCCTATAGTAGGTGCTCAATAAACTTGACATTCATTTGAATGAAGTATCCACTCTCCTTAGCTGGGTGCCAACTAGAAGTTGGGGCAGATTATAAGCATAAGTCACCCCTTTCCTGATGCTGTTAGTGTCTCCTTCCTAAGGTTTCTTAAGGTGTGGGACCATTCCCAGCGCATTGACTGTCCCAAACAGGACTGAGATGGAGCATTGATACCAGAATTTCACTCTTTAGGAGGTCCTTGGTGTTGCAGATTCTAAGAATGAACCCATGGACCACAGATCAGTGGTCAGATAGGACTTTTATTAGAAGTTGGAAAGGAATACAGAAGTAAAAAAAGCACCAGAGCTTCTGGAAGGGGGAAAGAACTGAAGACCTCCCTCAAGAGTCTCCACGTGGGCTCTTTTGTCTAGGGGTCTTAAGTCTAGAGGATTACACATGGCTGACAGTTGGTAGATAATAAGGCAGGCATCCTCAAACTACGGCCCGCGAGCCACATGCAGCCCGCCTAAGACATTTATCTGGCCTGCTGGGTGTTTTTGCTGCCGCTGCCTGTCCTGCTTAGCAGCCGACTCATCCCAGGGCCCGCAGTCCGGCCCTCCAACCGTCTGAGGGACAGTGAACTGGCCCCCTGTTTAAAAAGTTTGAGGACCCCTGGATTAGGGTGTGTGTTCCTACAAGGTAGAACAACCCCCTAAACCATCACAGGCTGCTTTGTTCATGATCTTATCAGAGCCCAGAGGGTGTATCCTGAAGAAGGCAGTCTGCTTGTGCCTGGAAATGGGGGTCTGACTTCTGAGCTCACCTGGGCCTAGAGAATGGGGGGGCTCCCTGTCTAGCCCTGAGTGGTGGAATCCTGTATCAGCACCATGTTTCCAATAAAGTGCATTAAGTCACTTTACTCTGTGTGTTTTTAAAAATCAAACATAGAAATCATTTGTCATTGATACCAGGAAAGAGCTCAAACAGGAGAGCATGGATTTATAGTTCAGCTGGATTAGTTTAAAGATGATTAAAGTAATCCCTTTTATCTTATCAAAAAGAGCTTTTAGGCGACCAGAGTAAAAAGCCCCAGACAGAATGCTCTGTTGCACCTGGAGTTTCTCTTCCTTGAGAAATAAGCTCATCTCGACCCTTCATCCATTGACTGAGCACTACGCTGGGCTGTGGTGGAGAACTCACTTGTCCAGCACAAATTTTTGTGGGGATGCCTGGTCCAGTTAGCCTTCGTG